CCACGTGAAGTGGTCGAACGCCCGCTGGCAGCGGGAGGTCACGGGACAGAGCCAGACCCAGCAGGTGTCATGGGTCGACTGACTGAGATGACTACTGGCCGATGCATCACCTGTGCCCCCTGCTGTGTCAAATGCAACATCCCCGACCCCCACCTCCCCAGCATGGCCAATTGCCGCAGAGACAATCCCCTTTGACGGAGACCCCCTCGTCTAACTGGTTTAAATTCAATAACAAAATAAAGATTTCTTTTATATAGCTACTCTTGTTCCCATTTTTTTTAAGTTTAGTTTTTTTTTTAAACCGAAGAGTCGGTTTTGTCGTCTACATGCCCACGTGACCGATGTTGCGTTCCCCTCGTGCACACACAAACACACGCAACTTTATTTGAGTTTTAACTGGCGATATAAAATCTAATGATGGCTTTCTGGGACGAGGACACCACGCAGATTCGCGAGCAGTTTCCCCGGTCCGCGTTTAAAGACCCGCCCCGTACTACCGGGAATTTCTGTTGATGAAGCGCTTCATAGCTCATCGGATTCCTCACCCCCGAGTCTAAATAAAGATACTGATACGTTTAGTAACCGGGTCAATTGCCGAGCGACACTTTTGACCAGTTGAGAAAGTCCCTCTCGAAACCCCTTCGAGAGAGGGTGGCAAGGACGGCGTGGGTTGCCCACATGTGCCACTGCCGAGGGGGGCAGTCACGGACGTTGTCGTGTAACGTGGGGCTGGCAATCCCCTGCCAGTTAATGCCCGCATCTATTGGCTGCATCGCTTTGCGAAGGAAACGACGAACGAACGCGAGCGCAAACATGTAAGGTAGGGGGGTGGAGACGTTAGGAAATGTGTGTGGTCCACCACCACCACCAGCAGCAGCGACGCCAAACACATCTGGAAGGTGACTTGACTCTTGACTTAAAGCTTTCGTGACTGCAGGAATTCATATGCTTTGGGTCTTTCGGTAAAAGTCACGTTGCGATCGCAAACACACATCGCTCGTGTTGCGATCGAAACGTCGTAGTTTTTTTGTTATTTTCTTTGAACCTATCTACGTGACTTTACCGAAAGACCCAAATAATGGGTTGATTGACTGTTCGTCTTCGCACAGCGGGAAAGGAAGGCAAGGGCCACCTGCCTTCGTGGTCAACGCAACAACACTGGCCGGTAACATCATTGCCGCGGCTTTATGCACATCGAGAGAGTCTGATTGTACCCCCCCCCCCCCACCGTCCACCACACACACGAAACCCGTCCTGGAAGAAATCTCTGCCACGGTGAAGGCGGTCGCGGGAACAGCAAGGGCACGGGGCATCTCACCAGGGTCTGTTGCTGCCACCCGTCCCAGGACATCTCCGCTGCAAGGGGGGGGGGGGGGTCTCAGCTCGTGGCTTGGTTGCTCAAGGCGGCTTTGAGGAGACCAACAATAACAACAACAAACAAAACAGAGAAAGAATCCGCCCCGGGGTTTTTTTTTTGAAATGTAAAACCTACGCCGCAGCGAAGGTCGTGGGACTCCTCCAGCCTCTTCGTCAATACGGTGGGGTGGGGGCACGGGGGGCTGGAGGGAGGGGGGCTGGAGGGAGGGGGGCTGGAGGGAGGAATGGAAATAAAAATCGTTTGAAAAATGAATGTCGTGTTGACGCTTAAAGAAGAAAATAAACAACGACAACAACAACAAGACAACATTCGCGGTGACCGCAACCGTACCGTCGGTAGCCCACTGCCGTGGTGGCCGCCTTTTGCAAAGTCGTTCTTTCGTTTTTCGTTAGCTGCCGTACAATGAACTGATATGCTACACATCACGCTTGCTTGGGAACAGCTCCTCGAGTAATGGGTTCATCTGCTACAAACTCCCAACATCGTGGCAGGCACAGGCATACGATAATAATACTACTACTATGACACGGATAATACTGAAGTCGCACTTGTGCCCGACGGCGTGTGAGTGAGTGTACCCACGTGTCTATGTGTACCCACGTGTGAGTGTGTGAGTGTACCCACGTGTGTGTGTGTACCCACGTGTGTGTGAGTGTGTACCCACGTGTGTGTGAGTGTGTGTGTGTGTACCCACGTGTGTGAGTGTACCCATGTGTGTGTCTATGTGTACTCACGTGTGAGTGTGTGTGTGTACCCACGTGTGTGTGAGTGTACCCACGTGTGAGTGTGTCTATGTGTACTCACGTGTGAGTGTGTGTGTGTACCCACGTGTGTGTGAGTGTGTGTGTGTACCCACGTGTGTGTGTACCCATGTGTGTGTCTATGTGTACTCACGTGTGAGTGTGTGTGTACCCACGTGTGTGTGAGTGTACCCACGTGTGAGTGTGTCTATGTGTACCCACGTGTGAGTGTGTGTGTGTACACACGTGTGTGTGTGTGTGTACCCATGTGTGTGTCTGTGTACCCACGTGTGAGTGTGTGACTGTACCCACGTGTGTGTGAGTGTGTGTACCCACGTGTCTATGTGTACCCACGTATGCGTGTGTGAGTGTACCCACGTGTCTATGTGTACCCACGTGTGAGTGTGAGTGCACCCACGTGTGTGTGAGTGATAGCCCTTTGCGGATTTTGACGCGTTCCAAAGACGAGGTGACGCACGCAAGCACCGCACCGCGCGCCCCTCGCTAGAGCCCCGCGGGGCACAGACGATGACGCCGTTTTAATATTTTAACGCACTCGCGCCTCGGCAATAGCGCGGTGTTGGGGAGCCGTGCGTCCGGCCGAGCCCCCCTGCGTAGGGGGAATGGGGGGCCGCTGTAGTTTAAGGGGGCACGGCATAGCTGGCGGAAACGCCAGTTATGCGGGCTGGGAAGCCCCGCTGCAGATTGTACGGCTACATTGCCTGTATATTAGGAGTTTGCGTCTCTCTCATCATCATCACGGTGGCTCGGAGATGTTAACTACCTCGCCTGGTCTACAGGAGGTCGTGGGTTCGATCCTGACCCTGACAACGCCTGAATATTTGGAGTTTGCGGTGTCTCTTTCTATCATCATTATTACGGTGGCTCGGAGATGTTAACTACCTCGCCTGGTCTACAGGAGGTCGTGGGTTCGAACCGGACCCTGACGCCTGTTGCTGTATGTTTGGAGTTTGCGTGTCTCTCTCTCCCTGTGGTCGTGTGGATTTAGTTTCTCTCCGGTCTTTCCCTCCGCATTTAGAATAAACGTCACGCGCTTAGAGCATTTGGCTGCTAGAAATGTCCACACGACGATAATGACGACAAGCCACGTTTGTTGTTGAGCTATCATTTGAAGCGGAGGAAAGGAAGGTGGCAACGTCCCCCCGGCCCCCCAAAACTCCCAAACCTGCGGTGCGCGCCTCTGCTCGGCTCGGCTCGCCCGCCTCCGCTGCCGAGCACGTGGGTGCTGAAATAAAATCACGTGACGGATGGAATAACGGGGGGACATTTTCTTTTTTGTTCATAAACATTTCTGCCTAGAAAATTAACGTCCACAAACCGGAGAGAGTGCAAGCTTGCCTCTAGCAGGGGCGCACGTGTTAGACGCGCAGGCGCGGCTCACGCCCTGCTAGCGGTGACACCTTGCGGTTTCACCGCACAAGGCTCGTGTCTGAATGCCAAGCTGGTGTGAGTGTTGCACGGATTGAGGAGAGGGTTAAGCCCCCCCCCCCCCCATCGTAGCCCTAGCCACCTGCCGCCCCGTGCCCACAGCTGAAGCTGCTCGGCCACATTCCTGATTCAGCACCTGCACTTCCGGGCGTGTCCGGGCAAGAGTCTTAGCAAGGCAAGGTCAAGGCTGGGTCAAGGCTGGGTCAAGGCAGGGTGTGGTGCTCCAGGCAAGGATAAAATACAACTCTAGCCGGGGTTCGCTCCTCGGCGATCGGTCGTGAAACCGGATGAACTGAACGCGGACTTCTCTGCGGGGGGTCGCAGAGTGCAACCCGTCTCTCCCGCTCGCTCGAGGCAGAGACGGGATTCCACTATCGGGCGTCGGTCCGCTCTGCGGCTTGTCGCGGCGTACTTCGCCGATCAACGCCGACGTGTCTCCACCCACGACCGACTGCTCCGGTCCTAGAACGTGGCACGCCGTTCCAATTGCTTTGCCGACGCAGCGAGCGAGCGGGCGTGCGAGCGGGCGGATCTCAACTCGGCCGTCCGGTTGCCACCGCTGAGCTGTTGCGGAATCCGAGGACAGCTGGAAGCAACGCGGCAGGACTGACGGACCGACGGGGGGGGGGGGGGGGGTGTAAGAGGAGGTATCGCCACTCCCCGTCTGCCCGAATATCGACAACTTCCGCTATCACGGCCTGCCTCGAGCCGTGCAGATAAACACTGTCGGTAATTGTAAAGTCATTCAAGTGGCTCTTAAAATATAGCTTTGCTGCGGGATGAACGTGTGGGGCAGGCGACGGAGAAGCCGTGAACCCCACCGCCGCCGCCACCGCCGGAGCCCCCCGCGTCCCCGATACATGGCGCGTTCCGAGTTGTGTCGCGTGCGGGACAGAGGGGGTGGCGCGTACCATTCATGCTTGGTGGGGGGGGGGGGGGGGGGGTGATGCGGGTCGTCTCTTCTCGTCAACGTCCATGGATGGGGGGGGGGGGGGGGTACGCGGGTGGGGGGGGGTGCCGCGTCCCGGCACGAGTCCAGTATTTACACCGCGCTGCGCCGTGGCGGTGAGCACACCGGCTTCCGGCACGCGTCCACATGCAGAGACGCCCACTGGAGCGGATGGTCGGAGACTTGCAGCGCGGGGGAGCAAGTGGTGGTGAGGAGGAGGAGGAGGCGGGGGGAGTGGGGGGGGGGGTTAGGGCCCTTACCAGAAGGGCCCCCCACCTTGCTCGCTCGTACCAACAGAGAGGGTGGGCGGGGGGGGAGTGGCGATGCTTCAACAAATTCGCCCGCGAAACAAGCAGACAGTCCGAGTGTCCACACGCCAGGTGCGCTGCCATGGGGGGCAATGCCCCCCTCCCCACCCCCCCATCTCCCCCACCCCCTCCCCACTGATAGCTCCGACCCCCCCCCCCCACCCCCAGCAGGCATCCACGCTGCTGCCGCCGCTGCCTCCGCTGCCTCCACCCCCAGCACGCTCAGTCAGGGGTCGCCTTGGACTTGGAGATTTTCTTCTTCCGCATGGCGAGCATGTCGTAGAAGGGGTCCCTGCTGATGCTGGCCCTGGGGGGTGCAGCAGGGTGCGGGGGTGGAGCAGGGTGGAAGGGTGGGGGGTGGAGCAGGGTGCGGGGATGCAGCAGGGTGGTGGGTGGGAGACAGAAGGCGACACCATTGAGACACAATGACCAAGGAGCTGAATCTGCACCATCTGTGTGTGTGCGGTGATCAACCAACCCTCGCTGCTGCCTGCACATCGCTGGCTCACAGCCAGCCACGTGGCGAGTGAGGAGGTTATGAGTGAGGAGGTGAGGAGCAGCGCGGTGGTGATTGAGGAGGTGAGGACGCGGCAAGCGACGAGCTAGCGCCGCGCTTACCGAATGCTCTTCATCCACTCCTCCTTCTCGTCGGGCGTGGGCGCCGAGATGCGGTACACCTCGTGGTTACCCTCCACCACCTTGCCGTCCGCGTCCGTCTTGCACGCCTTGATCACGTGCCCCTTGGTGTTGGGCATGTACAGCTCGAAGCAGTTCTGGGCAGGGAGGGGCGGGGGAGGGAGGGGTGGTGTGGGTGGGTGGGGGGCACGGGTGGCAGTGTGGGTTCAAGTTCAAGTTTCAAGTGTCCGGATAAAGTGACATCATTCGCAGGTAAACAGCAGGAGAAAAAACCCGACAGCTTCATCTTAGTGGTGGTGGTTGGTGGTGGCGGCTGCGATGGTGATTGTGGTGACTGCGGCGGCGGTTGTGATGGCGGTGGTGGCGGTGGTGGCAGGAGTGGTGATGGTGGAGGCGATGACTCTGTAGCGGCAATGGTTGCAGTGGTGGCGACGGCGGTGGCTGTATCGGTGGTGGTGATGGTTGTTTGTGGTGGCGTTGATGATGGTGGTGATGATGGCAGTGGTGATGATGGAGGTGGTGGTGATGGTGATGGCGGTGGTGATGGTGGTGGTGGTGTTGGTGATGGTGATGGCGGTGGTGATGGTGGTGGTGATGGTGGTGGTGGTGATGGTGGTGGTGGTGATGGTGATGGTGGTGGTGATGGTGGTGGTGATGGAGGTGGTGATGATGGTGGTGGTGATGGTGATGGAGGTGGTGATGATGATGGTGGTGATGGTGGTGGTGATGATGGTGGTGGTGATGGTGGTAATGGTGGTGATGATGGTGGTGATGGTGGTGATGATGGTGGTGGTGATGATGGTGGTGGTGATGGTGGTGATGGTGGTGATGGTGGTGATGATGGTGGTGGTGGTGGTGATGGAGGTGGTGATGATAATGGTGGTGATAGTGGTGATGGAGGTGGTGATGGTGGTGATGGTGGTGGTGATGATGGAGGTGGTGATGGCGGTGGTGATGGTGGTGGTGGTGTTGGTGATGGTGATGGTGGTGGTGGTGTTGGTGATGGTGATGGAGGTGGTGATGATGGTGGTGGTGGTGATGATGGTGGTGGTGGTGATGATGGTGGTGGTGGTGATGGTGATGATGGTGGTGGTGATGGTGGTGATGATGGTGATGGTGGTGGGTAGAATCGCCACTCACAGGCTTCTTGGGGTCCACCACCTCCCTGATGCTCAGGTTCTCCAGGGGGATGATCCCCCGCGGCTCCTTGTCCTGGAGGGGGCACAGCGAGCGGCGCGTTTCATTGCGGGAGCAATCAGGCGGCACGGCTTGGGTTGACCGCAGTGGAAAACCGAGGTGTGGAGCGCCCTCCCCCCCCCATCGGCACCGTGAGTCCGAGCGTCTCACCGTGGTGTACTCGAAGTAGTAGAGGCAGTTGTCGGTGAGGATGAACCACCGCCTCCGCCACGTCTTGATGCGCCCGCCTATACCGCCACACGCAGCAGCGGCAACAACAACGAGGACAACAACAACAACAAGCGCAGTGAGGTCAGAGGTCGGAGCGCCCCGGGGCCCGCATCGCCGAGAGCCTGGGTTCGAATCTGGGTTTTCAGCCGCTGCCCGTGATTGTCGAGCGAGCTGGTTTGTCCGCAGCCAGGTCACCGATAGCTCGCGTACGGTCACGGGAAGGGAGTTTCGCAACATCCGTGTAATCCGCCCGAAGCGCCAGCCAGTGAGCCAGCCAGCCAGCAAAACTTTGCGTCAGTAATTTAGAACGTCACGCACCCAGCTTGAGCAGCCAGCCCTCGCGGTCAGGGTTGAAGAAGGTGAGCGTCAGGTCGTTGCCGTCGTCCTCGGGGATTTTGAACGGCTCGTTCTTGATGCTGTCGTACAGATTCTGCACGCGCACAGACAGGCACGGAGAGTTCCGTTAGCCGCCGGGGGGCCGGGTCGTGGATGATCTGAGTTGTGGATAAAACGTAATGGGGGGGGGGGGGGGGGTGAGGGGTACGGGGGAATGAATGTTGAATCTACAACGCCCGGGCTGGGCTATTAAGTCGTCTGCTCCTCGCTCGTTGAGGGTCAGCGACTCACGAGGTCGCGAGCGAGTTGGTCGTCTTGGGAGGGAATTCAACCGGACGGCGAGGTTCCCGTTTTCATGCCCGTTCCACGTGGGCTGATAATTATAATAATTATAGTAATTCATGTGTTTTGTAACCCAACTCGGATGTGCGTTGAAATATCCGGGGCATGTCTCCCTGTCATTACCCTCAACAATGGAGAGTTGACTGGAACAGAGGTGGGCTCACTGATGGTTTGAGTAATCGATGACTCCCCCGATCAGCGGTTCAAGAACTCAACCAATCAGATGACGCCGAGACAGACGGATAATAAGTTCCCCACACCTCTCAGCTCACAGATTCCATCTCTTCACATACACACACACACCACAAACACCCCCCCCCCCCCATAGCCTTGAACAGACTTCTTGTGGCAAGTGCTGTTCACGAGTTGCACCTATGAAGGCTGGCACGGCACACGAAGGCGTGGGTGGCGATGCTTTTACACGCTGCATCAGGTACTCATTTGAGGCTGAGTAGACCTAGGACAGGCCCAGGACCGGTTCAAATAATCATCACTGGTGTCGGACCATGAAACTGTGAATCGAACTCTGGTCGCAGGGTTAGCAGCTCCCCACAACAAAGACAAAGATCCCCCGTATAGCCTTAACAGACTGTAGGGGCAAGTGCTGTTAGCGAGCACCTATTAAGGCAGGAACGGTACACGAGGGGGTGGGTGGCCACCACCACGCCCGACCGCCTTTGTCTCCCCAGTGGCGATGTTTACACACCGCACCAGGTACTCATTTCAGGCTGAGTCGACCTAGGGGAGGCCCAGGACCGGTTCAGATAATCGTCACTGGTGTTGGCCGTGAGCGGGAATCGAACCCGGGTCGCCAGGTTCATAGCGCAGTGCGCTAACCGCTACACTACCGCTCCCCACACACACATGCGCACACGCGCACACGCGCACACACAGACACACACAGACACACACGCACGTGCTCACGCACCCTGAGCAGCCCCTCGGGGAGGTCCCCGCCAGCGTTGATGCCGCGGTTCATGCTGATGAACGTCTCCACGCCAGGCTTCTCGCGCACGTTCGGGTTGTGGAGGCTCGTGTTCAGCATGATGATCGCCACCGACAGCACGTAGCACGTGTCTGCACGCAGGCGCGCACAAAGACAAAGATTCCCCCGTATAGCCTCGAACAGAGTGTTGGGGCAAGTGCTGTTTGCGAGCACCTAGGGGGTGGGCGGCCAGCGCCATGCCCGACCACGTACACACAACAACAACAACAACCGCCATTCGCCACTAAGTGGCGGTGACATCACTACGACGTTTGTGCCAGGCCATGTGCACCTTGAGGCCACGTGAAGTGTCGAACGCCCGGTCACGGGGCAGACCCACGCTCACACACACACACGCACGCGAGAATGATGATCGATGATGACCATGGCAGTGATAATAATATTAAGATGATGGTAGCGACGACGACGGTGACGACGACAGTGATGACGGTGATGATGGTGATGATGATGGTGATGATGGTGATGAGGGTGATGATGATGGTGATGATGACGGTGAGGGCGATTCCGCCCACCGGTGGGTGCGCTCGCCCCAGGTCTGCCAGGCGAGGGGAGCCGCTGCCCCCCCAGGTGAGAGCCCTCACCTGGCCGAGCGAACGACCTTGACCCACGTCCTCGGGGAGGAGGAGCCGGGCGTGGGAGCGGACGCAGTGCCAGCGCCGTGGCCACAAAGGCCCCTTTCTCATCGTCGCCCCCCCCCCAAACCCTGTTTTGTTTACCCCCCTGCCCCCCCCTCCCCGTGTTTGTGCCCCCCGAGGCCTCGCGTGAAAAGGCCGCTTTGGAAATGCTAAACGAGCGTCGCCACGGCAACCTCGCGCGTAGCGAGGAGCGAGCGCAGAGGCTGGGCAGGGAGTAAATGACTGCGGTGACGATGGTGGTGATGGTGGTGATGGTGGCGATGGTAATGATGGTGGTGATGATGACGATGGTGGTGGTAATAATGTTGGTTTTGGTGAAGATGGATATGATGATGATTTTGGCCGTGATGATGATGATGGTCGTGGTGATGATGATGGTGGTAATGGTGACGGTAATGGCGATGGTAATGATAGTGATGGTGATTACAATGATGATTACTCAGCCACAAATCATCTGTGCATGTTAATCACAAATCATCTGTGCATGTTAATCACAAATCATGAGTTTATCACACGGATGACGAAAGTCAACGGCGAATACATTGAACTTGGATGCGTGCAAAGAAATCTGGGTGGGAACCTCCTCTAGGTCGACTCAGCCTGAAATGAGTACCTGGGGACTGGAAGACGCCGGCGTTGCACTGGCAGTAGCGGGAGGCGAACGACTCCATCATGCGGTCGATCTTCTGAGCCTCCCCGGGCAGACGGAAACTCCACAGGAACTGCCTGCAGCATCATCATCAACATCATCATCAACATCGCCGTCAACATCGCCGTCAACATCGACAGCATCATCATCAAAAAAATCATCGACATCATCATCGTCAATATCATCAACATAATCATTATCAAAATCATCATCATCAACACCATCATCATCAACACCATCAACAACATCATCATCAACACCATCAACAACAACACCATTATCAACATCACCAGCAGGCGCTGGCTCATCCGCAGCAGAGCACCTGCCGAGTCGCGCGAGCGCCCAGGTGCGTCGCGTCTGGCTCGCCGGTGGACTGAGGCCACGTGACCAGCGGCGGCAGCGGCGGCAGCGGCCACACCGAGGGGCATGCCGGACGCGGCGGCGGTGGCGGTGTGCCGGGCCGCGGAGATATTCTCTCTAGGGTCGCGATGTGAGGCCTGTTCTCACCTGAGAGCCTGCACGAGGTTGAGGCCTGCGAACTCGTGCAGCTCCACAAAGGCCTGCAGCACCTTGAGGTTAAACTCATCCCTGTCGGGGGATTGGGATGGGAGGGGGGGGCACGGGGGGGGGGGAGATGAGAAGGAGATGAGAGGGGAGGAGATAAGAGGGGGGGAGAGAGTGGGAGAGGCTGAGAGGGGAGGTAAGATGAGAGGGGGCTGCAATGGGAGGGTTGTTGGGAGCCAGGTGGCATAGTGGTGGACAATGGGGGGGTTTCAGGTTGGGGGTAGGGTGAGAGTCAGGGCTTGGGATACGGTGAGGAGTAAGGTTTAGGATAGGGGTCAGGGAGAAATGTTCAGGATTGGGGGGTGAGGGAGTAAGTAAACTTGAGGATAGCGGGTGAGTGAGTAAGGTCCAGGATATGGTAAGGAAGTAAGGTTCAGGATAGCGGGTGAGTGAGTAAGGTCCAGGATAGGGGGTGAGGGAGTAAGGTCCAGGGTGGGGGGGGAGGGGGTGCTCCCTACCGCTCCCCCAGGTAGTCCCCGATGGCCGTCTTGTTGAGGCCTTCACCCTTGCACAGGAACTGGGCGATGTCCTCGGGCGTGCGCTGCAGCAGCTCGTTCGTGATCAGGAAGTCGATGCCCTGCGGAGCGTCACGCACGGAATGCCGCGCGCTCTCTCAACAAACAGCACGCGGGCGCAGGGTTGGCGCCGCCAGGCAGGTTGCTGCCGCAACAAAAAGGGGAGGTATGGCTCTTGGGCGGTGGTCTTCACCCAGTTTAGCACGTGGTAGACTTCCGCGACGAATATCATCCATCACAGAGGTTGTTTTTTTTGGGGTTAGATCGCGTAAATATATAAATGTGTCGTTAAAACCCGCCACCACCCGACACAGCCAACTAGTTAGGGTTGTCACGTAAACAGAACGTGCCAATTCGTCACTAGTACAGCACTGGTGTGTAGTGTAGTGTATAGTGTAGTGTATCGTAGTGTAGTGTATAATGTTGTGTATAGTAGTGTAGTGTATAGTAGTGTAGTGTATAGTAGTGTAGTGTATAGTGCAGTGTATAGTGTAGTATACTAGTACAGCACACCGGTTGTGTGTTGGAGAGCAAAGCCACAGCATTTACAATCTGAGTGCCGTGACGTTTCACCAGTGATTACAACTAGCTAAGGGGGAGGTGGGTGGGTGGGGGGCACTTTGGCCGATAAGACTTCATGTTTGAAACCAGTGGGGGGTTTAACAGCAGCACGGCAATGATGATGATTGGGGGAGGGGGGGGCGGTGTTTTCACTTTTGTGTTTCCCCGGGGTGGTGGCAGGGGGGGGGGGGGGAGTGTACGTCAGGGGCCGCACTGAAGGCCCACCAGGGGCCGCACTGAAGGCCCACCAGGGGCCGCCAGTGGTCCCTGGTGGGCCTTGCAATGAAGAACACTGGACGAGAGAGTTGCTTCTAGAGCGTGCGTTGGCCCGACTCTTCTACGACGCGGTGAAAAGAAGTGGTAGAAATGTACCCACCCTTCCGATCGCGAGCCACCAGCTTATTATGTAAATCACCAGCGCTGTCGTCACAGTACTGGCCACGTGGCCATCCAGCAACCCCCCCCCCAGCCCCTCCCCCAAACCCAACATAGCCATTAACCCCTCTTGTGGCCAGACGTTTAATTGCCACACTGGCGGCCGGGCTTCTGTTCCGACCACCCCCATCTAATCACATCGCTGCGCTTAATTACAGCTCGTGTCTTAGGGGTAATGACGGGGGGGCGGGGGGGAGACTCCTGCCACGCCCCTCCCCCTTCTTCCGCCACCGACTCCCTGGGTCTTGAACACAAAAGGATGGTTGGGGCAAGGTTGACAGCTGGGATAGGATCCAATTAACGCAGAGAGGGCTTCCCATTACAGCCAGGGCGGATGTGGAACACACACCCACACGTGTGTGTCTGTACATCCTACACGTGTGTGTGTGTGTCTGTACATCCGGCACGTGTGTGTCTGTACATCCTACACGTGTGTGTGAGTTTCTGTACATCCTACACGTGTGTGTGTGTGAGTTTCTGCACAAAAAAGACAAAGATCCCCCGCATAGCCTTAACAGACTGCTGGAGCACGTGCTGTTAGCGAGCACCGATGAAGGCCGGCACAGCGCCCGAGGGGGGTGCGTGGCCAGCACCACGCCCGGCCGTCTTTGTCTCCCCACTGGCGATGTTAACACATAACACCGGGTACTCATTCGAGGCCGAGTCGACCGAGGGGAGGCCCCGGGACCGGTTCAGATAATCGTCACCGGTGTGGGCGACCGTGACCGGGAATCGAACTCGGGTGGGCCAGGCTCGTAGCGCAGCGTGGCGCTCACCGCGGAGTTGCGTGTGGAGTGCATTGTGGGTAGAAATAGGTTCGTGCGTACACGCGGCCTAAGTCGCACGAACCGAAGGCGCATAGAGCGAGGGTAAGCCCCGTACTCGTCGTGTCTGCGCTGTACGTTGAACTTCTTTAGTACCGTACATGGCCAACCGTGATAATTGGAGGTTCGTGGGAGGGGGGGGGGGGGACACAGTGCCGAATAATTCCAGTAGCAAAAGTAGCTACACATGCAGTTACTGCATATGTAGCAGCTGCATATGTAGTAGCTACACATGTAGTAGCGACGGGCCCAGCACTTTCAAGGGCCCCGCGCTAATTACTTTTAAGCTATCAATTCCGGTTCAGTGATTCTGCACTTGCTCTATTACTATAGTACTATACCGCCTTCAACTTTTATGAACGACTGGCTGTTTAAGGTTAGCGATTTGTCGTATTATCTGGCTGTATAGCAAATGAAAAAATACAATTACTTTACCATGCAAGTAAAAAATGTGTGTTTGAATATTTACGTGTTTTTTTTTATTTAGGGCCCCTTTATAACATATGCTACAGGCCCCGCACTAGCTTAATCCCGCACTGGGGGGGGGGGGGGGGGGCAGCAATAGCTGCACGCATCTCAGGCACCTTCTTGTGGTCCATGTTGAATTTCTTTCGCCCGGTCGCCAGCTGCTTGTTCCTCTGTAGCGTCTTGGAGCTGAACGGACAAACAGACAACCAAGAAGCAAACACAAATAGCCGGGGGGGTTATGTTGTTGTTGTTGTATAAAATCTACGTAACCTTAAAGTAAATACTTAAAGGGTGCCACTCCAAAAAAAAAACCCTTCACGTTTGCTACTGCCAAGGTCACGCGCGCCTAATGAGCTTGCGGATTTGTTCGCTGTTGGACCGAAGCCGCCACGAGTTCAGAGGGAATCCCATGATGTTCAGTGGGCACTCAAAGGGGTTGACAGATGCATCCCTGGGCGATACAAACAGAGCCATCGTACGAGGAAGTGGTTCTTGGCCTGGGGTGCACGCACACCCTGGGGGCGCGAGATGCCCTTTCTGGGGGGGCGCGAGACATCCTCGAAGGTAAATCAACGAAAAGACAAATCAAGCACGGCCACGTAAGTGCCGCTAATTTGTGCCGTCAAAGCCTATGTGTTTATTAACGTTATACAAAAAATACGATTGATAACCAAAGGAGTTGCAGGCTGCAGTAAAGGTGAAGAACCACTGGTTTAGGGGCACAGAGAGGAAGAGCTGGTGGGGGATTCCTTACCAGTCTCTCAATATGAACATACAATGGGGTCATTCATAACACAGGTTTTCTTGGGGTTAGATCGCGTAAATATATAAATGTGTTGTTCAAACCCGCCACCACCCGACACAGCCAACTAGTAAGGGTTGTCACGTAAACAGAACGTGGCCAATTCGTCACTAGTACAGCAACACCGGTGTGTTGGAGAACCAAGCCACAACATTTACAATCTGAGTACGACGTTTCGCCAGTAATTACAACCAGCTTCATCAGGCGACAGCCAGAATTGTGAAGTCCATTTAAAGAAGGAAACACGAGAATCACGCAGAGCGAGAGGCTGTCACATTCATCCTCATCCAGCAGTGGCTAGACCACGAACGATGACGACGACGGCGGTGGCGGCGGTGACGATGACGGTGATGACACAAGCGTCCAAACTTGCTCGCAATGACACCCGGGCGACGAGGAAGGCGCGGATCAGGAAAACAAAGTCACGCGTAGCACCACGGAGTGACCGATTGTGATATAGAAACCACTCGGCACAACACCACGTGCACATTCAACACTTGGCGATCTCACACCCCCCGCCCCTCATCCCCACCCCGCCCCACCAACCCCGCGGGTGGAGGCGCTGAGTGATCAAGGTCTCGTGGGGAGGAGGAGAGGCGAGGAGGTGGATGGCAATGGGGGGGGAGGGGTGAAGGAGGGGTTGGGGGGGTTAAGGAGAATGGGGGAGGGGTGGGGGGGAAACAATCTCCCAGATTTCCCCTAGGGGGTGAAATTGGCCTCGAAGCAGTTGCTCCAATTAGTGGATGGGGGAGGGGCCATGGGGGGGGGGGGGGAGGGGGCGGAGTCATGGGGGGAGGAGGGCAATACAGCCCCCACCCCTCGCCCTTAAGATTCAGTGATTCCCAGATTGCCTGAACAAAATGGACGGCGTCGGTTGCGTGCTGCGCGTCACGTGGGGCACGTTTAGCAATCATCAGGCGCGTGCAGCGTGCAGCGTGCAACGAGTTAATTTGCATTTGAATGGGGGAGGAGTCAATTGGTGAACCTGGAAAGATGGAGCATGGTGGTGGAGCGTGGTGGTGGTGGTGGAGCGTGGTGGTGGTGGTGGTGGAGCGTGGTGGTGGTGGTGGAGCGTGGTGGTGGTGGTGGTGGAGCGTGGTGGTGGTGGTGGAGCGTGGTGGTGGTGGTGGTGGAGCGTGGTGGTGGTGGTGGTGGAGCGTGGCGGTGGTGGTGGTGGAGCGTGGTGGTGGCGGTGGAGCGTGGTGGTGGAGCGTGGTGGTGGTGGTGGTGGAGCGTGGTGGTTGTGTTGGAGCGTGGTGGTGGTGGTGGTGGTAGTGGTGGTCGGTGGGGAGGGCTGGAGCGCGGTAACCCTGCAGTTGATTCTCACGATCCGGGTCGATTATCTCGAGCCGTGCGTGCACAGTACACAGACTAAAATCGTAAAGGAGCAGCCCTGCAATTTCTCGCTAAGACCACTCCCACTGGAGAGAGCTCTTGAGAGCCCCTCTACTCTAGAGAGTCCCTCTAGTCTAGAGAGTCCCTCTAGAGAGCACGTGGTCTACTCTTGCACGCTCTCCACGCGTGTTGGTAGAGGTGGCAGGGACACCACTTTAACACCTCCACACGTCACCTGCGCACCGTGGGGAGAGATGAGAGATGGGCAGAGGAGAGAGTTGTGGAAAGTAGAGGTGAGAGACGAGGTGACAGGTAAGGTAATAGACGAGGCGAGAGACGGGGTGAGAGACGGGGCGAGAGATGAGGTGAGAGAGCGGTGGCGCTCACCTCTCCTCGCTGTAGGCGAGCGTCTCCATCTCGCTGATGACCCCGGCTATCTCATTCTGGAGTCGCTGGGGACACACGGACACACACCACACGCACAGCCGCTGTTAGCGAGCACCCGTTAAGGCTGCCGGGAGCGACGGCGCAGTGGTTGGCGTGCCGTGCCACGGACCCGGCCACCCGAGTTCAATTCCGAGCCATGGCCAACATCGGTGGCGAGTGATTCCGAGAACCAATCCATAAACTGATCCTGGATCCTCTACACTGATGAATATTCACTCACACCTGTGTGTGAGAATGCATACACCTGTGAGTGAGTATGCATACACATGTGAGTTTAAATACACTGATCTGTGTATATATTACTAGATTTGAAGCTTTCGTGACTGCAAGGATTCATATTCTTAGGTTTTTTCAGTAAAGTCACGTAGGTAAACATGAAAAATTAAAAATAATAAAAGTAAAATAAAATAAAAATCACGACGTTTCGGAGGCAACACAAGAAGACGGAAGCTTGTGTTGTCTCTGAAACGTCGTGATTTTACTTTTCTTTTTTATTTTACTTTAATTAATTTAAATTTAATTTTTTTACCTACGTGACTTTACCGAAAAAACCTAAGAATATGATCTGTGTATGTGTATGCACACACCTGATTGTATGCTTACACCTGTGTATGTACACCTATGTGTATGTGTACACCTGTACACACCTGGATGTCAGCCAGGAGGTCCTCCTTCCGCTGATGGACATCGTCGAGTTCCGCCAGTTCCTCCGGCTCGTCCGAGGTCAGGGCGCCCGCGGCTACGGGGGGTGCAGGAGGAGGAGGTCAGGATTAGAGGTGGCAAGATGGGAGGAAGCGTGAGAGGAGAGAGGATAGTGCTGATGGGGATGGGGGAGTGTGGTGGGGATGGAGGAGAGTGATGCTTGTGGTGGCAGCGGTTCTGGTGGTGACAGGGGAGTGTGATGCGATGCATCGTGATGACGCGATTGTGACAAGAGCGATGATGATGGGACACAGTCGGAATGGAGGGATGGAGGGAGGGGGTGTATATTACAAGAAGCACATTTGAGGATGTCATTTGAGGAGCCACCACCCCAAGTCCTTGCCTGCTCACCGTGACCGGGTGACCCAGTGTGTTCGATGTTTTTTGGGGGGGTTGTGCAAATACACTGAGAACTTTTTAGGGGGGGGGGTGGGAGGATGAGGTGTGACTGGGGGACGGTGGGGGACGGTGGGGGAGGGGCTGAGGTGGGGGGGGGGAAGGGGCAACCCATAAATATTCCTGTTTAGGGTCCCCCAATGAGCTATCAAGCGCCACCAGTGGCCCTCCCATCTCGTCGACATCCACCAATCCCCAGGGAGAGAGACTGCTGGGGGGGGGGCGATCGTGTCCCCCCCTCGCGGCGTAACACGAGAAGCCGGAGGCCCCCCCCCCTGCCTGCTGGGCCGAGTGGCCCTGACCCGGGTCAGCTGACACGTGTGTGTAGAAGCTACACACACACACAGCCTACACACAGTCTACACACATACAGCCTACACACACACATACAGCCTACACACACACATACAGCCTACACACAGCCTACACACACACAGCCTACACACACACATACAGCCTACACACAGCCTACACACACAGCCTACACACAGCCTACACACAGCATATACACATACACAGCCTACACACAGCCTACACACACAGCATACACACAGCCTACACACAGCCTACACACACACACAGCCTACACACAGCCTACACACACACACAGCCTACACATAGCCTACACACACACAGCCTACACACAGCATACACACACACACAGCCTATATACACACAGCCTACACACACACAGTCTACACACAGCCTATACACAGCCTACACACAGCCTACACACACAGCCTACACACACAACCTACACACACACAGCCTACACACACACAGCCTACACACACACCCTATACACACACAGCCTACACACACACACAGCCTATACACAGCCTACACACACAGCCTACACACACACACAGCCTATACACAGCCTACACACACACAGCCTACACACACACAGCCTACACACACACAGCCTCTACACCCGCTGTGTGGCGAGCGGTCCCAGTCACTCGCTGCCAGTTTCATCGTCGTCGTCGTCATCATCAGGTGGCTCCTCTTCTGCTTTTGACTTCTCCCTGCCCCCCCCCACCATCCTCGAGCCATGAGTAACCACCGCTCCGCCGAACTCCACGTGTCGGCGTGCACGTGTGCGCTGCTAAGCCAGCGGCCAGAGTTCCATTCCCGCTCACGGCTAACGTCAGTGACGATTATCTGAACCGGTCCCGGGCTTCCCCACCGGTCGACTCAGCCTCAAATCAGTACCTGGTGCGATGTGTAAACATCGCCGCTGGGGAGACAAAGGCGGCCGTACGTGGTGGTGCTGGCCACCCACCCCCTCGTGTGCCGTGCAGGCCTTCATAGGTGCTGCTCGCTAACAGCACTTGCCCCAACGGTGTGTTGAGGCTATACGGGGGATCCTTGTCTTTGTCACAGCTGTGCACGCGGGGGTGTGATGGCAGGCTTCTGCTGCCGCTCGCTGATGATGATGTTTTCCGATAAGTTTGATTGCGAGAATCAAAGGCAATAGTCGTAAACGAAGAAAAATCTCCTGTCGGCTCAGATCCGCCGATGACGTAAGCCAACATAGCGTCAAGTGAGTGTGAACGACAGGAAATGATTGGAGAATTAAAACCAAAAATTCGCAAAAACGTCGGCCTCGGGCTAACCACACGAGCAAAACAGAAGTCGCGCCCTGACCAAGTTACCCTGAACAGCCGAGGAGGGGGAGGTGGGTGGTGTCAGAGAGAAGACTCATTTCTTTAGAACCGCGTTTTGTGTTTCCTTTCTTGTCTCTCCGCCGTACGTACGGCGCGTAAGAAGTTCAGCATAACTAAATACATGATGCTGGTGATGGTGGTGGTGGTGTCGATGGTTCGGCCATCTGGAGCGCTCTTCCTTCTGGCATTAGGAAGCCACTGGACCTACGCACTTCACCTCCATGGACAAACTAATTTCTTTGGAACAGCTTTGTGAGTTTAGTTTGCTGTCCTACCGCCGCACCTCTAATTAGCGCGGTTGGCTACGTACGGTGCGAAAGAAGTCCAACATAAATACAACGCTGGAAAACAGAGTGCAGCAAGTGAGCTTATAGGGCGGTAATTGAAGTATAATTCGGACAACCCCACAGCCTATTCTTATTCTTGGGTCTTTCGGTAAATTCACGTAGATAGGTTCAAAGAAAATAACAAAAAATACTACGACGTTTCGATCGCAACACAAGCGTTCGTCATCAGGAAGAAAACGGACGAACGCTTGCGTTGCGATCGAAACGTCGTAGTTTTTTCTTATTTTCTTTGAACCTATCGACGTAACTTTACCGGAAGACCCAAGAATATGAAATCCTGCAGTCACGAAAGCTGTAAGTCAAGATTTAACCCCACAACCGCGAGAGGACGGGGTCAGGCAAGTGGAGCTTGAGGTTCAGCCCAAATTGCCACCGTGGCCACCACCCAAGTCAGACGATCGCCCACGAACCGAGCTCCTGGCCCTGTGAGATCCATTCCCGGTGGCATTGCGACTACTCGCAAACTTCGCCTCGTCTTCGCTAACCTCGACGCCAAACTACAACAGCTTCCCCAGCCATACGGAGAAGAAGCTAAACTAAACCATTTTTGATCACGAAACTATTTTTATTTTACCAGGTAATGCCCACTGAGCTATTTAGTTATTTTCAGAAGCGACCTGGCTATCACAAATGATAGCTCAACGAAGTGGCTCATCAAGTAGGGATTCATAGTAGCAGCCAACAACTCTAAACGCGTGATGTTGATTCTAAATGTGGAGGGGAAAACCGGAGGACCCGGAGAAAAATCCACGCACCGGCCATGCACCACTGCCTCCGATCGCGACGTTTCTTACCCAAGCCCGCTTATATTATCATTATTAGAATTATTATCATAATAATTATTTATTAGGTTAATAAATTATTTATTAGATTAATAAATAATTATTAGAATAATCATTCTATATATATATAATTATAATAATAATATATTATTTCTAGAATACATTATTATTAGAATAATGACTTTTATTATCATATAATAATCATTATTAGAATGATAGCCTCGAATTTACGAAGCTCCTTTCGTACTGAAGTATCTCAAAGCGCTGCACGGATAAATTAAACTACTCACAAGTATAGATACAATCTAAGCGAACTAGAAAGCTGACAACGACATCAATGACTACACTCGAAATTCCAATCAACTGAGGATCTATGATGAAAGCGAATAAAAATAATGATGACAGAGTAATCCAATCAGTCGTCAACATCGGTTTTAAAATTCAAAACAAGTCATCGTGCTTAACCTGCGCATGGCGTCTAATCCGCGTGGCCCTCTCTCTTTCTGTGTCCAAGCGTGCACCACCCCCGCCCGTCTTGCCGCGCCGCTCTTGAGCCACAGACGAGAGAGTGAACCCACCAAAGTCTGCGCTCCTCCTTCAGCCGAGGAGGAGGAACGGCGACACGACTCGATCTGTCTCTCTGCTGAAGCCGTCTCGTCGTAGCCAGCAGCAGCAGCAGCAGGCGATGTTGGCATCGAGTTCCCGAACCACGTGTTGCGCTCATTTCCCGCACCTCTCTGACGAGCACGGTTGGCTACGTACGGTGTGAAAGAAGTTCAACATACGGAGGAGGAATAGAATGGAATGGAGCCTTTGCTCCGTCCCATGTCCTCTGCCCGTGGCCACGTTTCTGACAGCGAACTTCAGAGCAGGAAACACTGTAAACCACGTTTTATTTATTCAACCAGGTGACCTGGCCACCAACGGAGAGCTCAACGAAGTGGTTTATCATCGCGTGGGGATTTCTAGCAGCCGCCACGACACTCTGAACGCGTGTTGCAGGTGACAGGCACCGCGTCGCGTTTCTCTCTCCCTCGTGGTGTTCACCCTCTGAAGCGCTCGCTCGTCACCGTGGCGTGCGCGATGACCACCACCACCACCACGTGACTTTTCTTTCGTGTTGTGCGCGGTGCTTTTAGCGCCACAGCGCGTGGATTTGTAGCGGTTGTTTTCATTTGTTTGCTGGTGACTTTGTGTTTTTTATATCGAAATCGCCTCCGGTGCTTTTGCTGTTGGCGGCAATAAAAGTTGTTTAAAAGTCAAAAGTCTAACTTCCTCTTCTTGGTTCTTTCGGTAAAGTCACGTAGAAGGGAAATAATAACATAATAAAAATAAAACATAATAAAATAATTCTCACGACGTTTCGGCCACAACACAAGCAGCCGTCCTCAGGTGAAGAACAGGTCTGTCGGAAAGACAGCGTCTTTCCGACAGACCTGTTCTGTGGCCGAAACGTCGTGAGAATGATTTTATTATGTTTTATTTTTATTATTTTATTATTTCCCTTCTACGTGACTTTACCGAAGAAACCAAGAAGATGAATCCCTGCAGTCACGAAAGCTTTAAATTGAAATCTCTCTCTCCTCTCTCTCTCCTCTCGCTCCTCTCTCTCATCTCGCTCCTCCCTCTCCTCTCTCTTTTTTACGATCAGTGGAAACAAGAAGATGCTCGGTGTATTCGGCACTTTGTTTCGTTCATCATTTCGTAAAATGTTTGCTTTTTTAACGGGGCTTTATGTAACCCTCGCTCGCTCGCTCTCTCGCTCGCTCTCTCGCTCTCTCACTCTCTCACTCGTTCTCTCGCTCGTTCTGTCGCTCATTCTCTCGCTCACTCTCTCGTTCTATACGTAGCCCCTCCTCGCAGTCCGACGGCCTCCGACGGGTAGCTCATAACAGCTCTCTCCTCTCGCTCCTCTCGCTCCTTTCTCTCATCTCTCTCCTCTCTCTCCTGGAGACGCGTCGCAGCCTCGTGGCTTCTCAGGTGACGACTTCAGACCTCCGAACGCGCGTTCCGACCTCTCCTCTACCCTCAGCCTGATTCCATCTCACGCAGGGGTACAGTGCCATACATTTATTTTATGAAATATATACAAATATATATTCTTCAATCCAACCGCTACAAAATTACTCGTAGGTTTTTTTTCGGTAAAGTCACGTAGGAAAAAAATAATAGTAAAATAAAATAATAAATGAAGAAAATTCACGCCATAGCGGATTCGGGCGCATGGCGCGTGCGGGTAATCCCTTACACCCCCCCCCTCGCTTTCCACGTGCGAGAGAGTGTGAGTGTGTGTGTATGTGTGCGTACGTGTGTGTATGTGTGTGTACGTGTGTGTATGTGTGTGTACGTGTGTGATTGCGTGTAGTGGGGAGCGGTGTTGTAGCGGTTAGCGCGCTGTGCTACGAACCTGGCGAACCAGGAACCTGGCGAACCAGGTTCGTAGCACAGTCGACTCAGCCTCAAATGAGTACCTGGTGCGGTGTGTAGTAAACATCGCCCCTGGGGCCGGGCGTGGTGTTGGCCACCCACGCCCTCGTGTGCCGTGCCGTGCCTTCATGCCTTCATAGGTGACCCCTAACAGCACTTGCCCCAGCAGTCTGTTAAGGCTATACTGGGGTGGGGGTATCTTTGTCTTTGGTCTTGTGCTGTAGCTCAAGACTAAGGCGCGATTTAGTTCCCCCTGCCCACAGTCGGGCTACAGATCCCGGGCGCACACAGCAGCGTCTCTCTCCGAGCCCTTCATAGACGCCCCTCTGTGAGGTCTCTTGCTGAAGGCGAAACCCGCCGCGAGTGACGCCTCACATCGGCGCTTTACAACGCGACACAAAGTGGACTCGAGCGGCCGCAGAGACACGCGATCTGAGTGCCGCGTGTGTCGCGCACGGCGCCCTGAGCACACGGGGCGCTTTGTGGGCGCAGGTTTCAACACGCGGCGCTGATAGGCACCGACGTCTGTAGAACCCTTGTCTCCAAAACCCTGAGCCAAGCCCGAAGCCAAGAGCGTAAGCGAGATGAAACCCCCCAAACTAAATACCTCGAAATCTGAGCTGCACCCCAAAGAGTGAGCAACGTGGAAGGAGGAAAAAAGGTTGCACGTGGAAGACAACCTGATGATGATGATGATGTTGATGTAGGTCGTGACGAGAAGAAAACTGGAACCATTTGGACACATGTGTAGGATTGCATTAAAAGTGGCGTTGTTGTTCGGAGAAATGCTTGGGACCGGAAATAGAGAAAGACCTAAGAGAGGATGGCTTGATGACGACATCACGAGATATCGAAGATGTGGCCACTACTTGAGCCATCTTGGCACAAGACGGAAGAACTTGGTCGCAAATGACACCGACGGACTATCTGCCCATGGAACGTGATGATGATGATGATTAACCCAAGTTCATAATGCAAGACCCTGAATCTAACCCGAATGTAAAACCCTAACCCCTCGCACAAGCCTCTAACTCAAGATCTTAACGGCAACTCAATGCCCTGTCTCAAGACCATGACCCAAATGACCCATACAACAGTTCTTAATCAAGGCCAGGATGATCTCAGGAACATATTCCTGTCTCCAGTTCATCATCATCATTGTCATCATCTTCATCATCTTCATCATCATCATCACCCCTTCCACAAAACCCAACCTAGCAACCACAACCACGGGGCCACCACCCTCGGCAGTAACCGCCCAGCCACAACCACACAGCCACAACCAGTAACCCATCACCACATGGTCACAACCTCCGAGGTACAATCACATCGGCCACAACCACCTGTGCACAACCACTTAGCCACATCCATAACTACACCCCCGTCCAACCACAACCACATCCCCCTGTAGCCCCAGCGCAGTTGTCTCATGGAGAAAACAAAAATCAGTCATACACAGAGGGTGTCAGGATGGTCTTGAGCTTAGCCTGATGTCAATGTCTCTTTATATGTCTCTACAGGATTTATAGGTCTCTGTGTGGGTGTTTGGTGTCTCTGTGCGAGTCGATGAGTCTCTGTGTGCGTCTATGGAAGAGAGGAGAGGGGAAAACGGGAAGGTCAGGCATCTCAGTCTGCGGGTCTCTATGCGGGTCGATGGGTCTCTAGACGAGATGATGGGTCTCTTACACGAGCTCAAGGCTCTCTGTGCGAGTCGGTGGGTCTCGATATGAATCTGTGGGAGGCAGAGAGAGAGAGAGACGCAGTCGTGGCCAGAGGGATATTCTGGTGAGCAGTGAGACAAAGGCGGCCGGGCGGGCGGGCGTGGTGTTGGCCACCCAGCCCCCTTGGCCTTCACAGCTGCTGCTGCTACTTGCCAACAGCACTTGCCCCAGCAGTCTGTTGAAGGCTATACGGGGGGGCTCTTTGTTGTGTGTGTATGCGCGCATGTTTACGGCGTCAGGGAATGCATCACGAGGGGGGGGGGGCTGGGGGACGCGCGCGAGAGGGAGGGGGGGGCTGGAGCACGCGCGCAAAGCTCCCCCGTATAGCCTTCACATAATGTTGGGGCAAGTGCCGGCACGCCGCACGAGGTTTCCAGGCACCACGTGGCCTCATTTGGCTCCCGAGTGGCGATGTTTACGACGCATCGCATCAGCAAACCAATTGTTTCAGGCTGAGTCGACCTAGGGGAGGCTCAGGACCGGTGTCAGATAATCGTCACAGGTCTTGGTGGCCGTGCGGAGGAATCGAACTCGGGTCGGCGGGTTCGTAGCGCAGCGCGCTAACCGCTGCACCACCGCTCCCCTCCCCCCCCCACACGCAGGGTTAACGTTTCGGCTTGGAAACAAATTCTACTTCTGCGGTGAAGCTTGGGACCGGGGGTTAAGTTAAGGTCAAATCTGACGAATGTCAAAGGTTAGTGGACCACAGCCGGGGGGGTGGGGGGTTACTCTCCGGGACAGGGCTGACAAGGCAGTTTGACGTGGAGGGGGGGGGGGGCACGTGCCCCCCAATGATCCGATCGAAATCCATAATTTCGATCGGGTCATTGGGGTTTATTAGTAATAAATCGGCATTTTGCGACCCCCACTGCCACTGTGTAGCATATTGTTACGTGTCAGGGACTCTATCAGATGATAGGACAATAGTCTGAGTCCATAATTGTCAAAAAGGTAACGGCAAAGCGGTTATAAGTGACTCACAGAATTGTGCGCAGTTGCGTATACAGAACACGACTTCCCTGAAGGCATCGACAGCTCCAGCGAGCGCGATGCCGATCACGACGCGGTTCGAATTCGATCCCGATCGATCAAGGGACAAGTCCTCACTTACTAACAACTCCTTACTTACTAACAACTCCTTACTAACAACTCTTTACTTACTAACAAGTCCTCACTTACTAACAACTCTTTACCTACTAATTCCTTACTTACTAACAACTCATTACTTACTAACAACTCCTTACTCACTAACAACTCCTTACTAACAACTCCTTACTTGCTAACAAGTCCTTACTTGCTAACAACTCCTTACTCACTAACAACTCCTTACTCACTAACAACTCCTTTCTAACAACTCCTTACTTACTAACAACTCCTTACTTACTAACAACTCCTGTATCATTTTTCATTGCTGGGGGGGGGGGGGGGGGGTTGCCCCCCTTCTACCTGAACATCCTGGCTCCGCCATTGGAAGCAGAGTCAAGGATGTGGATTCCATGTCGGGGATAAGAGGATGGCGGTGATGATGATGATGACAGAGTGATGGTGGTGATGATGATGATGACAGAGTGACGGTGGCGATGATGATGACAGAGTGACGGTGGCGACGACGATGAGAGGGTGGCGGTGGTGATGTCGATGGCGAGAGGGGAGGGAAGAGGGGAGAAACGAGAGAAGGAAGAAGCGAGCAGATGTTATCTGCACGATGGAACGGCGTCTGTTTTCACAGGGGGCGGGGAGAGGGGAGGAAGGCCCGAATGGGGGGGGGGGGACGCGGCCACACTCAAGTCACGTGGTTTACGGTAGGCTCTAGCTGATGTAGCTTTGGAGGTGATGACCTCAAGGCCAGGATTGGAACTATGGCTCGGGCCAGTGCTTACTCCCAGCCACGGCAGTCCGTCAACGCCACATCCATCAAAGGTCCCCGACCGTACAGCCTTCAGCAGACTGCCGAGGCAGGTTTTGTTAGCGAGCACCCATTGAGGACGACACCCGTCCAGCTCCCACCCAAGACTCACGTGCCCAGGGTCCCAGCCCGAACTCCCAGGTCCTACTCACCCAGAACCCCCCACTCCCAGATCTCCCCCCCCCACTCCAAGTTGTCACCGGGACCCCACCGACCTGAGACCCCAGCTGCTGCAGACACCATCTCGGCTGGGACCTCCACGAGCTCCTCCTCCTCCTCCTGCAGCTGCTGATGATGCTGCTGCTGATGATGCTGCTGCTGATGCTGATGATGCTGCTGACGATGATGTTTGTGCTGCTGATGCTGCTGCTGTTGCTCCTGCCGCGACTTAATCTGCTGCTGCTGCTGTTTGTGTAGCTGATGCAGCTGTTGACCTTGCTTGTGTCTGGCGCTCTTTGCGTTGTTGCTGCTGCTGCTCTAGTTATTGCTGCTGTCTCTGCCGCTGCCGCTGCTCTAGTTGCTGCTGCTGCTGCCGCTGCTCCAACAACAGCGATTCGGAATGGCGAACAAGACCCAAGGCGTGTCTCACCCCCCACTGCGTCTCTCCGCGTCTCCGCGTCTCTCCCTCTCTGCACCGTCTCTCTTTGTCCGCGTCCCTCTGTCTGTCTGCCTGTGTGTCTCTCTCCTCTGCCTCCTCTCCGCGCGTCTCTCTCCGCGCCGCGTCTCCCGCTCCGTTCAATCTCCCGCGCGTCCCTCCGTCTTCAGGACGCGGCGGCTCTGACTGACTCCCTCGACTTTCCCCACTTCGCGGAGCCGTGGGTCAGTGACATCATCGCGCGTGGTGGGGGGTAAGGAGGTGAGGGAGGAGGGAGGGGCAGGGGGAGGTGGGGGAGTAGGGGCGGGGCGGGGGGGGAAGGAGGTGGGAGCAGCCGGGCGTCATCACGAGACGGCGCTCTGGTGAGGAAGCGTAACCCGCCCCCACACTTCTGGAGGTGCAAGGGTGGGGGTGAGAGGGGGTGAGAGTAGGGGGGGGGGTGAGAGGGTGGGGGTCAATGTGCAGAGCTGCAGATGTGACCCGGGGGAGCGGGAAGTGGCGGACAGACGTTGGGGGGTGGGGGGCAAGGGGGGGGGCGGTAAATTCCCGTTCATCATCGGCAGGATGATCATGTCACAGCCAGCAGCACTCATTGTCACTGGAACACCGGTGAGTGAGTGAGTGAGCGAACGAGTCAATGAGTGAGTGAACGAGTAAATGAATGAGAAAATGAGTGAATAAATGAGTGAGCGAATGAACGAATAAATGAGTGAGTGAACGAGTCAACTGAATTGGGTGAATGAAGTCGTCAATGGGCGAATGAGTGCTTTCATCACCGAGCAACGGAATGAATAACCCAGCGAATTGACGAACGAGTGAACGAAAAAAGAATGACTGTGTGAATTTCTGAGTGGGTGAGCGAACGAGTAACTGACTGAATGAATGACACGCACGTGAACACACAATTGCGTTAAACAACAAAACAAAAGTGCGTAACCGAACGAGTGAAATCCACCGAGGGAATGTCTCAACGAGCTTGACGGTTGAAGAACGAACGTAGGAAGGAAGAAAGGAAGGAAGGAAGGGGAATGAGCGAACCAACCACCGAACGAGGTTCGAGAGCGACTGTCAACTCTGCTGCCCGCACCGGCGGCTTGTGGCGACACGTGGCACCCACGCGCGCAGGCCCTCACCTGCCCCTCACCTGCCCCTCACCTGCCCCGCACCTGGCTGACGTCACCCGCCGCCCGGATGAGGGATGGTGAGGGGCGGGGGAAGGGTGCGGTCAGGGTGTTGAAGCGTGGGGGGTCCCGGGGGGGGAGTGGGGGTGGAGTGGGGGGTCTCAGTAGACCGCAACGTGCCCCTGGGTGCAAAAACGCGACAACCGGCTACTGATACTGATACTGCTGCTGATGATACTACTGATACTGCTGCTGCTGATACTGCTGTTGATGATACTGCTGATACTGCTGCTGATGCTGATACTGCTGCTACTGCTGATACTGCTGCTGATGATACTACTGATACTGCTGATACTGCTGATGATACTGCTGATACTGCTGCTAATGATACTACTGATACTGCTACTGATACTGCTGTTGATGATACTGCTGCTGATGCTGCTGATGATACTGCTAATACTACTGCTGATGATACTACTGATACTGCTGCTGCTGATGATACTGCCGATACTGCTGCTGATGATACTGCTGATACAATACTCTTTGGTACTTTCAAATCTAGACTGCTGATACTGCTGCTGCTGATACTTCTGATACTACTGCTGATGACACTACTGATACTGCTGCTGCTGATACTGCTGCTGATGATGATACTGCTGATACTGCTGATACTGCTACTGCTGCTGATAATAGTGCTGCTGATGCTATCCTTACTGCCAATAATACTACTGCTGATAATGATACTGCTGATACTGCTGCTGATGATACTGCGGCTGTTGATGATGTCACTGCCGATACTACTGCTTGCTGCTGATACTGCTGCCGCTGATCATGATACTGCTGATGATCATGATACTGCTGATGATCATGATACTGCTGCTGTTGATGTTGTTGTTGTTGTTCCTGCAAGTGCTGCGAACCCAACGTGTGTGGATTTTCTTTCCCAGATTTCCACAGTCCCAGAACAGCAGCCGTGGGTAACGCACTCGGCTGCCTACCGACACGTGGACATGCGGTCCCGTTTACACCTCCCCCCATCTACCCACCCACTCACACAGCTACTCACCCACTCACATAGCTACCCACCCACTCACACAGCTACCCACCCACTCACATAGCTACTCACCCACTCACATAGCTACCCACCCACTCACACAGCTACCCACCCACATAGCTACCCACCCACTCACATAGCTACCCACCCAATCACACAGCTACCCACCCACTCGCATAGCTACCCACCCACTCGCATAGCTACCCACCCAGATAGCTACCCACTAACCCACCCATATCCTCCCCCACATGCTCACCTACCCACCAATCAACCCATCCGCATATCTGCCACTTACCCACGTATCCGCTACCAATCCAAACACCGACCACTCTACCCCCTATGTTTGTTTGTTTGTTGAACTTCTTTAGAACCTACCCACTCACATATCTACCTGCCCGCCCACCTACCTACCCTCTACCTAAGCACCCAACTACCACCAACTACCACCAACTACCCACTATTATCTCCCCACCCACCTATCGACTCACCCACCTAACCCTACTCGTTCCCAGGACGAGGCCAAGTCACTCCAACGTTTACCATAAACCGCACTTCTCTTTTCACGAGAATCCGATTCTTTCCGAAACTCCGTCAACACGGCGTGAAGTGACACATACAACCAGACAAAGATCCCCCATATAGCCGACACCAGCCTATCGGGGCAAGTGCTGTGGAGCGAGTAGCACGTATCAAGGGGAGTACGGCGCACGAAGGGGTGGCGTTGACATCACCACGCCCGACCGCCTTTATCTCCCCAGTGCTAATGTTTTACACACCGCAGAAGTTACTCATTTTAAGGTCGAGTCGACCTAGGAGAGGACCCAACACGTGTTCAGGAATTCGTCTCTGACGCTGGCCACACACACGTAGCGATACACACACAGGGATACGCTCACACACATACATACCTACACCTACAAAGACACATGCACAAATACACAGATGCCCTGTATAGACTCTATAACATCAGCCCCATCACCACCCCATCACCAGCCCCTACATCATCACCACTCTATCACCGGGCCGCATCACGAGTCCCATCATCATCCTCCATCTCATCACCAGCTCCCATCACCATGTCCTCGTCTCATCACCAGCCCATCACCATCACCAGCCCCCACCTCATGAATAACCTCCCCACCATCACCATGCCCCCCGTCTCATCACCAGTCCCATCACCATCACCAGCCCCATCACCATCACCAGCCCCATCACCAGCCCCATCACCATCACCAGCCCCATCACCATCACCAGCCCCATCACCATCACCATGCCCCCTATCACCATCACCAGCCCCATCACCCTCACCAGCCCCATCACCATCACCAGCCCCATCACCATCACCATGCCCCCCATCACCATCACCAGCCCCATCACCATCACCAGCCCCATCACCATCACCAGCCCCATCACCATCACCAGCCCCATCACTATCACCATGCCCCCCATCACCATCACCAGCCCCATCACCATCACCATGCCCCCCATCACCATCACCAGCCCCATCACCATCACCAGCCCCATCACCATGCCCCCCATCACCATCACCAGCCCCATCATCATCACCATGCCCCCCATCACCATCACCATGCCCCCCATCACCATCACCAGCCCCATCACCATCACCATGCCCCCCATCACCATCACCAGTCCTAGGCTGGCACGGACGCATCGACGGCGTCCGACTCTATCCCTCGCACCGCTCGCATGCGGGGAGCGGTGGTGCAGCGGTTAGCGCCGCACTACGCTACGAACCCAGCGACCCGAGTTCGATTGCCCGCTCACGGCCAACACCGGCGACGATTATCTGAACCGGTCCCGGGCCTCCCCTAGGTCGACTTGGCCTCAGATGAGTACCCGGTGCGGTGTGTAAAAAACATCGCCGCTGGGGAGACAAAGGCGGCCGGGCGTGGTGCTGGACACCCACCGCCTCGCGTGCCGTGCGGGCCTTCGTAGGTGCTCGCTAACAGCACTTGCCCCTACAGTCTGTTACAGGCTACACGGGGGATCTTTGTCTTTGGTGCACGGCGCGCTTCCGTGACATTTACACCTGTGGCCAACAAAATAAATCCCGGAGCACACGCGACGAGGTGGAAACAACGAGAGATGTAAACTAACAAACACACAATCAACAATCAGCGTGCGCATTGTGCATCGGATCGCGAACCCGAATCCTGACAATTCATCGACTCACTGGGAGGCAAAGTGGTGGGGGGAGAGGAGGTGGGGGGGAGAGGAGGTGGGGGGAGGTGGGGGGTGGTGGTGGGGGCGGGGGGTCTACCCACCCCTGCCTCATCACGTGATCGTTGGCCATTATGAGCCCGGCTCAATTTCGCGTTTTCCTTGGAAAAAAAAGAGTCCACAATGCTGCGAGAGACCTGCAGCCAAATCCGTGCACCCCCCCCCCGCCAACTCCCTCCGGACGCCCCCCACCCCCTCCTCCAAATAAACAAAACTCCCCCCCCCCGCTTCTACCGAACAGCGGTGAGAGTCGTGTTCGGGGAACATTCCAACATAACCGCTTCCAGCGTCGGCTCCCTCTCCTCTTTCTCCCACTCTTTCCTCTCTCCCACTCTTTCCTCTCTCCCACTCTTTCCTCTCTCCCACTCTTTCCTCTCTCCCACTCTGTCCTCTCTCTCTCTCGCTATGTCTCTCTCTCTCTCTTCTTCTCTTCATTTCCTCCACTGTCTCCTCTCTGTCTTGCTACTCTTCCCCACTCTCTGCACATCGTTTCATCTCTGCCCCCCCCCCCCCCCCGCTGCTTTTCTCCCCTCTCCCCTCTCTCCGACTCCCTACCCTCTCCCACTTTCTGCCCATCTCTCCCTGTCTGATTCCGACTCTCTCTCTCACGAACCCCCGTTTCCTCTCTCTTCCTTTCACTCAACCTTCTCTCTCACGCCAGCTCTCTATTTATATCTCTCTCTGTGTCCCGTGATCAGCCCCCCTCCTCCCACCGCCATCTCTCACACTCTCTCTACCCCACCTTATCATCCATGTGCTGGGGTCATTTATTTACCCAGCAGAG